AGAAACCAAACGGCTGTCACAGAATTTATCCTCCTGGGATTCGGGGATCTCCCTGACCTGCAAATTCTACTCTTCCTGATGTTCCTAGTGATCTACATGGCAACCGTGGCTGGGAACATGCTCATCACTGCACTAGTTGTGGCTGATCAGCACCTTCACACCCCCATGTACTTCTTCCTGGGGAACTTGTCCGGCTTGGAGACCTGCTACACCTCCACCATCCTGCCCAGGATGCTGGTCAGTCTCCTGACTGGGGACAAAACCATCTCCTTCAGTGGCTGCTTCTCACAACTGTATTTCTTTGCTTCTCTGTCTGGTACGGAATGCTATCTCCTAGCAGCGATGTCTTATGATCGGTATTTAGCGATATGTAAACCCCTGCACTATTCAACTCTAATGAATAACAGGTTTTGCCTCCAGTTGGCTGCTGGGTCATGGTTAAATGGTTGTTTGGCTACTACAATCTTTGGCTTATTCCTATCACAGTTAACATTCTGTGGTCCAAATGAAATTGACCATTTCTATTGTGATCCCATGCCACTGATGGAACTCTCCTGCAGTGACACACACCTGAGCATATTGGTGGATTTGATAATAGCCGGTTTATTCACCCTGCCTCCATTCCTACTAACCCTGACGTCCTATGTGTTTATCCTTGCCAGCATCCTGAGAATCCCTTCCACCACCGGGAGACAAAAGGCGTTTTCCACCTGCTCCTCTCACCTCACTGTAGTGACAATTTTCTATGGAACCATAATGATTTTCTATATGCTACCGAAAAGTGATACACTCAGAGATCTGAAGAAAGTGCTCTCTCTTTGCTTCACGGTCCTAACTCCCCTGGTAAACCCCCTCATCTACAGCCTGAGAAACAGAGAGGTCAAGGAAGCCTTAAGCAAAGCAGTCAGTAAATGCGGCTTTCACAAAAACTTGCAGAGTCTCTGAGATAATAAAATAGCCTGAGATTTTGAAAGCTGCCTGTGTGATTGAAGCAATCAGTCTGCGATGCACTGTACCTCAAAGTAGTCCCCTGTAACCTCCATATTCATCTTTTGTATCTATATGGTTGTGATATTTCATAAAAAACATGCCTTGTAAGGTATCATATGTAAGGTCATGATCTCCTAAAACTCATTCTTCTGTCAAAATATCTAAATCATTATTGTATATCGTCATTATCAGATTTTGTTATATGGTTGTTACCAAAATATTTTGCAAAAAGAAGAACAGGAGTACTTGTGGCACCTTAGAGACTAACAAATTTATTAGAGCATAAGCTTTCGTGGACTACAGCCCACTTCTTTGGATGCATCCGAAGTTAGTCTCTAAGGTGCCACAAGTACTCCTGTTCTTCTTTTTGCGGATACAGACTAACACGGCTGCTACTCTGAAACCTGTCAAAATATTTTGGGAGTTTGGGAGTCGCCCATACCCAGGCTGGTGTTAAACAAATATCACCAACCATTGACCAGCAAGGGTATTGTAAACAAGAAATTCACAATTCTGTAAGAGACAGTTGTGCAAGCACCACACAATGGGAATTGCTGAACTTTGTGACTCAGCAAGGCCCACCAGGACATGTCTGGGCCAGTATTTTTCCAGGGACATGAATTGACAGTATAAAATAAGAGACAGGGGCATCATGAGACCACCTCTCTCCTCCCCCACCTATTCTGGAGACAACAGGGACACTGGGAACACAAAGACTTTGAACTGGGGAGGTTGGGCTGAGAATGGGATTCACCCTGTTTATTAAGAACTGTAATCTTCCCGCAACATCCAGTGGGGTGAGAAAAGCTGTTTGATTCAGATCTTACTGAATCTCATAAAGTTTAGGATTTAGAATGCGTTTGTATTTTTTTTTCTTAGGCATAAAGTTCAAAGATAGATTTTAAGTGATTATATGTGTTAGGTAACTATCTTTCCATAGTTAATAAACTTATTTTAATGTTTAATCTTAACCAGTGAGTTTGTTTACATTGCTTGGGGAATCTGCTCAGATTACAAGGGCTGGTGCATGTCCACTATCCTTTGATGAAGTGGCGAACTAATTAATGAGCTTGCATTGTTCAAGAGACGGTCTTAAGCAGTTTAAGATGATACATTCCTTGGAGTGCAAGGCTGGCGGGATTTGCTGGTGTCTCCCTCAGTATAGTTCATGAGTGGCTTGGAAAGCATTCATGGAACTCAGTTGAGTGTGTCTGTGTATGCTGGTGACCGAGTGATAACCGTAACTGGGGGAGGGAGGTGGAGATTGCTGCTTCTCACTATTAAAGCATCAGGAGAAACAGCCCAGTCTGGGGAGATAAGGGGGCACAGCAGTTCCACAGCTCCAGGTTGTACCCCGGGGTCCTGTCACACAGCCCCATTAAAATTAAGTTGAAAACTCCCATTGAAAATCTCAGCACTCAGGGTTGTCCATCTAAGTGGAAGGACCAGGGAGGGAGGTGGCCAAAACCATGCTCCCATCATGGAGCTTTCAACCGGGCACCAGGAAGAGTGCAGACAATTTTAACCATTTTTTTTAATTACTAAAAAAGCCATTTTTTATCAAAATAAATGGTTGGACAATAAAAATACTAATTTCTGCTGTAGCCTATGTGGGGACGTAAGCCTGGGAAATCTGCTACCTCTGAAATTGCGCCTAATTCCATCCCCACCATACACCCCTGCAAACCAACCACCTTCATTACACTCACACAGGCCGGATGTGAAGAGCCAGGCCCAATCAATGACCTTTAGACACTTCACCAGGAATAGCTTTATAGCTCTTATCTGAGCTAAACCTGGCTGTGACCAGCTCCAGCAAAGCAACAGCCCCAGGCTCCCAGGGCCCTTGGAGGCAGGGAGGTTGGGCAAACAAAGAGGTAGACTCACAAGCCAGGGACACTGGGACTGTCCAGACCCAGGTGCGGGTTTGCCAGGGCACATGTAGAACTGAGGCCATTCCTGGGGTCACGTCTGTCAAATGGGAACTGAGGAGGGATTCGGCATGTGACCCTGCAGGGCAGAAGCTACTTTGCTGCTGCCAGCTGCACAGAACATTTCAAAGGGAGGGGACCTGTTACAATGAGTGTCCCTAAAACTGATTGGACACTGTGTCCTGAGAACGAGCCTCTCGGGACATGCAGTCATTGCAGACAGCCCGGGTGCCTTAGACAGCTCTGCTCCATGGAGGGCCCTCCCCTTGGGGCGTGAGGCAACCTATGGCGAGAGAAAGCGGCTACAACTTACCAATGGGCAGAACGCCTGTGATATCAAAATGGCAGTGCTGGCTCAATCACTGGGAACACGTCAGGGCTTGGCCAGGGGCAGGGGAGCTGGGCACCAGTGAGAATGGTAGGACTTGAGCCCTGCAGAAACCATTTTCCAAGGGACCTAACAGAATTAGGCACCCAATTCCCTTTGAAATGGGAGTTGGATGCTTAAATCTCTTAGATGCCTCTGAGAATCTCAGCTTCAACAGTCACTGGGATTCTGTCACGGTAGCTTCTGTCATCAAATGTTTTTCAGCTGTGTGTGTGTCTGTGTGTGTTCTGTTGTCTCAGCTCTGCACAGTCTCAGGCTCGCTCTAATACAGTTTCAATCTATGCATTTCCAATGGAAACAGACCCCACAGCAACAGAAATGCACTGCATGGATGGGAAACACCTGATATACCTTTGAGAGCCACTGCTATTGTATGTGCTTTTGTAGCCACTAATGTTGCAATCATGCTGTTGTACAGTTTTGTTCCCAGTGTCTCTAACTTGGAACAGCACACACCTAGCAGTAGGTAAGAAATGAGGAAAGATGTGATTATGCTCTCTAGGGTAACTAGAGGGTAGAGATATGGGAAAGGGGCAGTGGTGCTACCCAGTGGATAGCAGTCAAAATGGAAGTCATGAAAGGAGAACTTATGTTGCCAAATGACCAGCAAAGGGAAGTGGACAGAGGTAAAACAGTATAATACAGATAAGACGGCATCAGTGTAAATGGCGAGGAAAGAATTTTGTAGATCAATAGAACTCTGTTAGGGCTGTATTCCCACTTTGAACTTTAGGGTACAAAATGTGGGGGCCTGCATGAAGACTTCTAAGCTTAACTACCAGCTTAGCTCTGGTCCGCTGCCACCATCTCCAATGGATTCCCTCCCTGGGAAGCCTTGAGAAACCTTTCACCAAATCCCTGGTGAATACAGATCCAAGCCCCTTGGATCTTAAAACAAGGAGAAATTAACCATTCCCCCTCCTTCCTTTCACCAACTTCTGGTGAATACAGATCCAACCCCCTTGGATCTAAAAACAAGGAAAAATCAATCAGGTTCTTAAAAAGAAGGCTTTTAATTAAAGAAAAAGGTAAAAATCATCTCTGTAAAATCAGTATGTAAATTAACCTTACAGGGTAATCAAACTTAAAGAGCTCAGAGGACTCCCCTCTAGTCTTAGGTTCAAAGTATAGCAAACAAAGATAAACACTTGTGGAAGGTACATTTACAAGTTGAGAAAACAAAGGAAAACTAACACGCCTTGCCTGGCTATTTACTTACAAGTTTGAAATAGGAGAGACTTGTTTAGAAAGATGTGGAGAACCTGGATTGATGTCTGGTCCCTCTCAGTCCCGAGAGTGAACGCACTCCCAAACAAAGAACACAAACAAAAGCCTTCCCCCCCAAGATTTGAAAGTATCTTGTCACCTTATTGGTCCTTTGGTCAGATGCCAGACAGGTTACCTGAGCTTCTTAACCCTTTACAGGAAAAAGGATTTTGGAGTCTCTGGCCAGGAGGGATTTTATAGTACTATACACAGGACAGCTGTCACCCTTCCCTTTATAGTTAGGACAACCTCTATGCTATGTAATGAACTGGAAATATCTTTAGACATCAAAGTGAGGAATGTGAGTGAGCAATGTAGAAATGAAGATATTGAGGAATTCTGAAGCCGTATTAATAAGGGAATCAGGGACAGACAGCCTAGATAGTCCTAGGTTACCAATACTACCTAAAGATAGGAAAAGTGTACCATGGTGGAACAATGACCAACGGGGACACAAGAGCATCAAGGATGGAAAGAGGCAGCTACAACATCCACTATAGTTAACTCCAGAAGAGAGCAGAGGGTAAGAACAGAGCAATAGACTGTCATGCTGTGTAATCGACCCTAGGGGCAGCAGATTGAAAGAAATGAGGAAAGGTCTGTCATATTTATCCAATTCTGAAATATACTGGCTAAGTCCTGTAATGTGAAAAGGAAAGGTCAGAGAAGCTGCAAGGTGTCCACTAGAGGGCAGCACATTCAAAGCAGGAGAAATGGGCATCTATTTTCTGAAATGTCCAGTAGGTGGCAGCAGATATAGGCTTAATATTATTTATTATTCTTATTAACAGGCCATCACCTAGAGTTTCATCATTATGTGAAGTATTTTCCACTGTGGGATTTTTTTCCCTTTTATAATTGTAAGCAAGGTCTGCATGAATTCTCCCCTGACCTCTAGTGATGAACTGGGGAAGAAGACTTCAGGAACTGACCTTGTTTGCATAGACATGCCCATTCTGCCTATGTATGATGGAAATGCTTTGCCCAAATAATGACTTTTCGTGGTGTTGGAAAACAAGTCACTTTGTTATAGGAGCAGGGGTAATAAAGAGTTGTGTATCCTTATGCGGGGATCAAGGGTAGCAGAACTGTATTTGGCATACCCCGATGGAGGGACTCACCCTCAGCTAAACTGCATTCGGTAAGCAGAAGACAGGGGTGCCAAAGCTGAGTGGAATTCAGAGAGGGCGGGGACAGGTAGTTTGTGGTGTGGCCTTTTTTTCTCCACTGTTTAATAATAGAGTTTAGTAAGACTCACTTGAAAGTCTTGTTGCAAAACAACAGAATTGAAATCACTAATTACCAGCTCTAAGCATTAGACCTGTTTTGCAGCACTGTCTCTAAAGCCAGAGACTGCCCAGCCTGCACTA